TGAGGGGAGTTTTGGATTATTCCAATTATTGATTCTTTCCTTATCTTATTCACGTAATTTTAGTCCTTTATTGTGTTTCTTTTTCTTAGCCTTGAAGATAGGATCTCTTATTTCCTTCCTCTGTATATATTGTATCCCCCTGTAATGAATGAATGGAGAATATATATATACCGCGTATATGCAAATGATGTGACTAACCAGTCTACCAAGGACATGTCTCCCTCAAAAACCTAGTTTTAAAAAAATCCCGTACAAAACAATTCGTCCAACTGTTATTGAACAGAAGAAAAAAAAACACAACCCAAAAAACTCCCAAAACCGGGAATTTCAGTAATCTCACAACGCAACACTATAAAAGTGACTTGTCTCTTTTATTATGTTCTTCACCTTCCATACCCTCACGAGGAAATTGTATCTACTCTCATACCCTAGAAGTTTTTGAATTAAATGAAGTCGAACGAAGCCAACTAACTTCTAGACACTACTTTGTCATTATCTATCAATTCTATCACTATAATTTAAATACTCAAGAAATTATGTTTTAATTTGTTATCTACCAACCAGAAAAAATCCCGTAAGACCTCTTCATATCGTTGAAGAAACGTTTAGATCCCCTCTTACAACGCATCAATTTACGACAAACAAGTCCATCAATAATCCGTTGGAAAACCCATTTTACGGAAGTTGTTTTGACAAAAAAAAAAAAAAAAAAAAAAAAAACAAAAACCAAAACCAAAAAACAAAATATCCTTGGGGAGAAACCCATTTAGGTTATTGGAGACATGAGAAAGTTATTTTTCAACGGCCGTTTCTTATCGAATTTCCGGTGTAAAACCTATTGAAACTAGTGGCGACGGTTAACCGACAAATCGTAATTTTTAGCACTTTTCGACTGAATCTTGGTTCAAGGTAAGTGTCATGTCTCGAAGGGAATATTAGCAAATTTGAATTTAGGTTACCGGTAGACATGGAAAAATGGGATGATGAAAGGTCATGTTTTATGTTGAAAACATGGTGTTCCGAGGCTAATAGTGAAGTGGGAAGAGGAACCAGCAAAACCTGAGTGAATTAAATGGTAAGGGTCTTAAGTACGAAGGAGGGCACAACATGGTTGAACAAAATTATAAATGTCTTCTATGATTTGAGTACGATGAAATTGTTTCTTATCGACTTAATATGGATACATAACATAATGCATAAAGATACATGATGTCGTTTTCCTATTTATTTGAAACATTATGACTTAAGTATTCTAAACTTCTTAATGTATTCAACATTGCTATAACACGGTTACCTGTTAGTGAAAATTTTCAATTTTCAAAGCAACCTCACAAAAATTAAAGCCACGGATGTACCATCTGCCTTTTTGTATCATTTTAAAATTTTGGTATATTTTATTTTTTCTCTTTTAGAATTGCAACGCAGGAGGAGAAAACTTTAAGGTTTATTTTTTCTTTCATTTAAACTCATGTTAACTTCACATTAGTTTTGAGTGAGTAAGCATATCATTTAGTCATTGTTACACAGTTAATTTAAACATTAAATTAAGAATCTTTTTTGTTTAAATCATACCGAATTCGGTCATTATTTTATACATCACTTAATGTTTGAGTACAAAAAAAAAAAAAAAAAATCATGCATAGATAAATTGTTATAGCTTTTAATTTTTAATTTATTATTATTATGAGTTACAATGATGGCATCACTAGTAATGAAAGCAAACAAGTCTCCATTTATTTTGGTAAAAAACACAAGAACGAAATCATTTGCATCTTTAGCGATGTATAATCAAAGCAATTTTTTTATTGAAAACCATGGTTGCTAAAAAGATATTAGTAAGCTTCGGGATGAGCAATGGCATAGGCCTCAATTGCCTTGAAGGTGTTCTTAAATGCTTCTTTGGAACCGTTAAGAATATCTTCACTTAGCTGGGCATCGGGTTTGCAATTAAACACAGTTGTATGCTTGTATACCGATCCACCGTTAGGAGATGGTACGAACTTAACATGATGAGTCGCCGAGTCAATAATGCCTAACAACGCATCACCTTCAATGATTGTGTAACTAACACTTAGATTGCTTGTGTCGATGACATCGATTCTGTTCTTCGAATTTTTATAAGGAACACCTAGACATACATTACAAAACACATTATGGAACCATATATTAAAAAAAAACCTACTAATATGTATTACAAGATCCTTCCGGTACATGAATAATATATACTAAACACATAATATAAGTTATTTACGAAATACTAACCATCCCCGAAGATGATACTCATGATGCTTCCAACACCACCATCACCTTCGATAATGCTAATGGGTTTGAATGTTTTAGGGTCGACCTTTGGCGCGAGGGTGTCGAAATCTGCATAGACTTTAAAAAGTTTCGTAGACGGAAGGGAAGAAGAGATCTCAACTTCAGTGGTGATGACAGCCATTATTAGCTAATTTCCAAAAATTGAAAAGTAAGAAGATGTATGTATTTGTTGCGTTGAGATTTGAATAAGGATAGAGGTATTTATAAGGTTGGAAGGCTGGATAAACAAACATCTAATGTTTTCTAGATGTTCATTGGCATTGCTGAATACTCTTTCCATGAGTTCTTCATTGTTGACCCCACCACTTCCACGTTTTACTTAAAATATGAACACGTTCTCATTTTATATAGGCTTTTAGCAAAACTATTTTATTCTCCACAACTTTGTCATATCTCATTTACTTAAGTTATTCTTATTGACGTATGAAACCAAGACTATGCATGTCAGCCTTAAAATATATTATTCATGTATAACGAGGAGCAGATTTTCTCATTTATACGAACGATTGATTTTGGAAAAGTATATTGTCACAATTTTATCCAGCTTCTCTTCCATCTAATATATAATGTTTTAATATCCAACAAATATTATTATGAAAATATTTAACATGTAGATAGTCATGAGACGTTAAACAACATAAGCAATCAATTGTGGTTTTATTAACTAGTCAACCTGAGAAAATTTAAAACTTACATCTAGAAAATAACCAAGATTAAGAAGTATACAGCTTAATCAATATTAAAATTTTCATGTACCACCATATCATCTAATGTTTTGTTCTAGAACGCATCGCCTGTTTAATGTGTCAGAGAAGATTCCACAATCATCAACAATATAACATATATATGTTAGAAAACAAAAATTCTTTTTCCCGACAAAATTGCATATACCGCGTATATGCAAATGATGTGACTAACCAGTCTACCAAGGACATTTCTCCCTCAAAAACCTAGTTTAAAAAAAAATCCCGTGCAAAACAATTCGTCCAACAGTTATTGAACTGAAGAAAAACGAAAAAAAATGCAACCCTAAAAACTCCAATAAACGGGAATTTCAGTAATCTCACAACGCAACACTATAAAAGTGACTTGTCTATTTATTATTTTCTTCAGCTTCCATACTCTCACGAGGAAATTGTATGTACTCCCATACCCTAGAATCTATGAATTATTTGAATTAAATGAAGTCGAACGAAGCCAACTAACTTGTAGACACTACTTTGTCATTATCTATCAATTCCATCACTATACTTTAAATACTCAAGCAATTAAGTTTTAATTTGTTATCTACCAACCAAAAAAAATCCCGTAAGACCTCTTCATATCGTTGAAGAAACGTTTATATCCCCTCTTACAACGCATCATTTTGCGACAAACAAGTCCATCAATAATCCATTGAAAAACCCATTTTACGGATGTTGTTTTGACAAAAAAAAAACAAAATACAAAAATGAAAATATATGTGGGGAGAAACCGATTTAGGTTATTGGAGACATGAGAAAGTTATTTTTCAACGACCGTTTCTTATCGAATTTTCCGGTGTAAGACCTATTGAAACTAGTGTCGATGATTTATCGACAAATCGTAATTTTTAGCACTTTTCGACTGAATCTTGGTTCAAGGTAAGTGTCATGTCTTGATGGGAATGTTAACAAAATTGAATTTAGCTTATCGGTAGATATGGAAAAATGGGATGATGAAAGGTCACATTTTATGTTGAAAACATGGTGTTCCGAGGCTAATACGGAAGAGGGAAGAGGAACCAGCAAAAGCAAAACCACCTGAGTGAATTAAATGGTAAGGGTCTTAGTACGAAAGAGGGCACAACATGGTTGAACAAAATTATAAATGTCTTCTATGATTTGAGTACGATGAAATTGTTTCTTATCGATTTAATATGGATACATAAAATAATGCATAAAGATACATGATGTCGTTTTCCTATTTATTTGAAACATTATTACTTAAGTGATTCTAAACTTCTTAATGTATTCAGCATTGCTATAACACGGTTACCTGTTAGTGAAAATTTTCAATTTTCAAAGCAACCACACAAAAATTAAAGCCATCGATGTACCATTTGCCTTTTTGCATCATTTTAAAATTTATGGTATATTTTATTTTTTCTCTTTTAGAATTGCAACGTAGAAGGAGAAAAATGTAAGGTTTATGTTTTCTTTCATTAAAATTCATGTTAACTTCAAATTAGTTTTGAGTGAGTAAGGATATCATTTAGTCATTGTTACACAGTTAATTTAAACATTAAATTAAGCATCTTTTTCGTTTACATCATATGGAATTCGATCAATATTTTATACATCATTTAATGTTTGAGTACAAAAAAAATATTCCTAAATAGATAAATTGTTATAGCATTTAATTTTTAATTTATTATTATTATGAGTTACAATGACGGCATCACTAGTAATGAAAGTAGCAAAAAGGCATTTGGCCTAGTGTTAAGGAGTGATCCTCTCAAATGAGAGGTCATGGGTTCAAGTTTTTTAGGAGAAATAGGTGATATTTAGGAGTAGGTTTATACATAGTTTGTAGTTTCAAAAAAAAAAAAAAAACTAGTAATGAAAGCAAACAAGTATCCATTTATTTTGGTGAAAAACACAAGAACGAAATCATTTGCTTCTTTAACGATGTATAATCAAAGCAATTTTTTATTGAAAACCATGGTTGCTAAAAAGATATTACTAAACTTCAGGATGAGCAATGGCATAGGCCTCAATTGCCTTGAAGGTGTTCTTATATGCTTCTTTGGAACCATTAAGAATATCTTCACTTAGCTGGGCATCAGGTTTGCAATTAAAAACAGTTGTATGCTTGTATACTGATCCACCGTTAGGAGATGGTACGAACTTAACATGGTGAGTCACCGAGTCAATAATGCCTAACAACGCATCACCTTCAAAGATTGTGTAACTAACACTTAGATTGCTTGTGTCGATGTCATCGATTCTGTTCTTTGAATTTTTATAAGGAACACCTAGACATACATTACAAAACACATTATGGAACCATATATGAAAAAAAAAAACTACTAATATATAATACAAGATCTTTCCGGTACATGAATAATATATACTAAACACATAATATAAGTTATTTACGAAATACTAACCCTCCCCGAAGATTATACTCTTGATGCTTCCAACACCACCGTCACCTTCGATAATGCTAATGGATTTGAATGTTTTAGGGTCGACCTTTGGCGCGAGGGTGTCGAAATTTGCATAGACTTTAAAAAGTTTCGTAGACGGAAGGGAAGAAGAGATCTCAACTTCAGTGGATGACAGCCATTATTAACTAATTTCCAAATAATTAAAAAGTAAGAAGATGAATGTATTTGTTGCGTTGAGATTTGAGTAAGGATAGAGGTATTTATAAGGTTGGAAGGCTGGATAAACAAACATCTAATGTTTTCTAGATGTTCATTGGCATTGCTGAATACTCTTACGATGAGTTCTTCATTGTTGACCCCACCACTTCCACGTTCTACTTAAAATATGAACACGTTCTCATTTTATATAGGCTTTTAGCAAAACTATTTTATTCTCCACAACTTTGTCATATCTCATTTACTTAAGTTATTCTTATTGACGAATGAAACCAAGACTATGAATGTCAGCCTTCAAATATATTATTCATGTATCACGAGGAGCAGATTTTCTCATTTTTACGAACGATTGATTTTGGAAAAGTATATTGTCACAATTTTATCCAGCTTCTCTTCCATCTAATATATAATGTTTTAATATACAACAAATATTATTATGAAAATATTTAACATGTAGATAGTTATGAGACGTTAAACAACATAAGGAATCAATTGTGGTTTTATTAACTAGTCAACCTGAGAAAATTTAAAACTTACATCTAGAAAATAACCATGATTAAGAAGTATTACAGCTTAATAAATATGAAAATTTTCATGTACCACCATATCATCTAATGTTTTGTTCTAGAACGCATCGTCTGTTAATGTGTCCATTTGAGAAGATTACAACATCAACAATATAACATATATATGTTACAAAACAAAAATTCTGTTTCCCGAAAAAATTGCATATACCGCGTATATGCAAATGATGTGACTTACCAGTCTACCAAGGACATTTCTCCCTCAAAAACCTAGTTTAAAAAAAATCCCGTGCAAAACAATTCGTCCAACTGTTATTGAACAGAAGAAAAACGAAAAAAAACGCAACCCCAAAAACACCCAAAACCGGTAATTTCAGTAATCTCACAATGCAACACTATAAAAGTGACATGTCCATTTATTATTTTCTTCAGCTTCCATACCCTCACGAGGAAATTGTATCTACTCCCATACCCTAGAATCTATGAAGTTTTGAATTAAAGGAAGTTGAACGAAGCCAACTAACTTCTAGACACTACTTTGTCATTATCTATCAATTCCATCACTATAATTTAAATACTCAAGCAATTAAGTTTTAATTTGTTATCTACCAACCACAAAAAAAATCCAGTTAGACATCTTCATATCATTGAAGAAACGTTTAGATCCCCTCTTACAACGCATCATTTTACGACAAACAAGCCCATCAATAATTCATTGGAAAACCCACTTTATGGATGTTGTTTGGAAAAAAAACAAAAAAATAAAACAAAACAAAAAACAAAATATCCGCACGGAGAAACCCATTTAGGTTAGTGGAGACATGAGAAAGTTAATTTTCAACAGCCGTTTCTTATTGAATTTTCCGGTGTAAAACCTATTGAAACTAGTGTCAACGGTTTACCGACAAATCGTAATTTTTAGCACTTTTCGACTAAATCTTGTTTCAAGGTAAGTGTCATGTAACACCCCAATTTTCATATATAGATTATATAATAAATAACCGTTCCAACATCTCCCAAGATCAATTCTAAACTTACTTATAGACTAAAGTACAGCGGAAGCAAAATAAAATAAAATAAAATCTTCGGTTAAACAACTTCGGGTGTTACGTCTTTGCGGAATTCCTCTGCCGTCTTCTGGATCAATCCTTCTCCTTGGATTTTTCACTGCCACTTGCTAAATAGTTTCGTGGGTTGCACACATTTAAAGTTTCTAAATGGGTAAGCCTAGGGCCTAGTGAGTTCGTGTTGCACATACATGTCCATCACTTAAAAAAAACAAATAGTTTTATCATATATCTTCAATAAATCATACAACAAATATATCACCCGATCACCTAATTTAGGGGAACGATTAATTATCCAGAGAAAGAACCAAAAGTTCATTTCCCTTCTCCTTGAGACAACTCATCATCCATTTTACTCAAGTATTTTAAATATCCAAGGAAATGAGTATGACTCTCAATTTCTATCCCCGCCGATCACACACATCCGTCATGCTCACGGCGAATAAACATCCACCCGTTCCCGCTAAACATGTCATCCGAAAACACACCCAGTAGATAACAAATCCAAAATAACATTTTTACGCAACCATACTTATCATAAAACATACTGTCAATAAATAAATAAAAAAACCACATAGTAAACGCATGATAAACATTTATGTGCGAGCAACCACAGAACACGAAAAACTCACCTCGTAAACGACAAATCCTAACCGAATCTTGTCACGCTACACGCACCTACATTCCACCAACAAGTTTTCTAAGGCAATAAATCCTAGAAAAACATCCTACGTGTTCATTTTTGTTCCATTATCCATGTGTCTCGTTCAGCCGATCAAAATAATCATCATTTACGTTAGTTAAAACGTACGTAATAGTTTTAGTACAAGTATTATCTTGTGTTGCATCAATATTTTCATATAAATAAAGTTTCATTCTTAAATATAACACTCATATATTAAAACAATTAAAACGTTGAAATAAAAAAAATGTTTGGTTTTAATAATAACAATAACTAGCTGCTTAGTAAAACTTGATAGACCATTTTTTGTCATTCAGACGATTTCTAAATGAATTTAGAATTGTCAAAATGTTAATAGTTCAAGGACCATTTATGTAGTTTCAGTTTTTAATTCAAAATAAAAGGAATGAAAACGTTGTTTGAAAACTTGGTCAAAACCAGAGGGGCTCTTTCTGTAAATTTGAATCCCTCACAAATAAAAAGTACTCAGTTGACTAGTGTTTTTGCTACCCACCCAAAACAAAACCTGAAATTCATTTCTTTCTTTACCCAACACTATTTTTCTGCCATTTTTAAACAATTTGAAGCTTCAAAATTTTAGTAAAATTAATTTGTAAAACCAGCATTAATCATCTCCACTTCTTACCAAATGTATTCATAAATTACTTTTCAGAAATACTCTTGAAAGAATATGAATTTAAGCTTTTTTCCAAAACTCAAATACTTCAAAATCTTCATCAATCAATCTCCTATTGGCCCGAACAGAGACATTAGATGGAACCAAAACACTTAATGCAGACGTACAACACTAATTAAAGGACTGTACCAGGCTAAAATCAAAGAATCATACCTTAATTTGCTAGAAAGCTCCGAAAATCTTCAAGAATTTATAACCCCGATTTCTCCCTTGATTCTCAACCTTTTATTGCAATTCCAGTGGGGTTTTCATAGGGTTTTTCGATCTTTAGATAATGGCTAAGATTTTAACTACTAAAACCCTTTCACATGCTCGAATTTACTACATCATTAAGGGTGGCGGTTTTGAGGGTTTAAAACTCATTATCTCTCTTAATCAAATTCATTAACACCTAATTAATTTATCTAATTACTGAAATTACAGCTTAATTAACTTAGATATATATATATATATATATATATATATATATATATATATATATATATATATATATATATATATTTATTTATTTGAGTTATCACAAACTTCCCCCCTTCGAAAAATTCCGTCCTCGGAATTTAAATTAAGTAAACAAATATGGATATTTGGTCTTCATATCACATTCGCTTTCTAATGTTGCATTCGATCCCTTGGTATCTCCAATCAATAAGCCACCCCCCGACTCGATCCTTAAGAAGGTCCAGTAGGTCAGAGACTCAACCTACCTTTACAAAACCGCACCATGTCTTTCCATGAGAATCCGTTCAATATTACTTTATCTCCACCTGAAGCACTTTTGGCTTCCTACGTTTAACCACCTAACCTTTTGGTGGTTCTTGTGCATCATCTAGTTATCAGTAATTTACTAAATTTTACCAGTACTTTGTTGGACAAGATCGAGTCTAACCATTTGTTTCTCCCTTAAATCATACCAACATAGTGGTACACTTCATACCATACAACTTAACCAACCTTTCATCAAGTATATTTCACCGAATGACACAATTTAAGGGAACATTTTAGATATCCAGAGAAAGAACCAATGGTCCACTTCCCTTCCCACTTGGCACAACACATTCATTATGCTCAAGCATTTAAATATCCAAGGAAATGAGTTACATCTCAAATCCTATCCCCGTCGGTCACAACACACTCGTTATGTTCCCGACTATCATACACCCATGTCCCCACTAAATTCGTCATCATACACCAGTTAAACAAATCTAAAAACTTTCCACTTATCCTCTACGATGGATTCTTTCTGACTCTTCTTTGGTCCACCCAGTAAACTGACAGTTACATCAATTCTTATCATTTTTGAATCTTACTTGATTCATTCCTTTACCTATGACTTAGTGCATAAGGAACAATACCTCACAATTACAGTCTCTTAGAATTCCCACTCATCTTGTTGCCTCATGTTCAGTCATATCTGGTCAAACATGAAATTGACACTCTTGTAGTCAGTAAAGATCTTACACCTTCTTTGACTCTTGGTAATCTATGCATATTTATATCGTCCCATCGTTCTTCATGACAGACAACATCGGTGCACCCCACGGTGATGTACTGTGTCAAATAAAAGCCTTATCAAGAATCTTGCAACTGCTATTAAATTCTTTCAACCTTATTGGTGTACTCTCTCACTATCACATTTCCTTGTTCCGGTCTTAATAATTCTTCCTCCAACTGCTTGATCGTCGTTCGAGGAAAAACATCTCTTTAAAGATTCTTTCAAGCTCATCCCATGACATCCTATTGGTTGTATCTGACACCCTAACTACTTTTACCCTCCCCCATCAGTATAAAGCCTCATTTTTAAACATCGCCACAACTTAAACCACATTGTCCTTATTCGCCCACTTACTAGTATCAAATCTTTTCGTTATCCATGTTGATGATACGATAGGATGAATGACCCCGTGACACGTTCGTGGGTTACAAGTCATGAACGTCTTGTAACAATTACCTCATCATTTGTCGATTACATCTATCCTTGATCGTAATGCAACACTAAGGTCAGGAATTGAAACTGACATACAATATCTATAACTTTCCTCTTCATCAGCCATGTTATCACCGTTCACATTCTATAGTGCATCTTGGTACTGAACATTTACTTACGACAATGTATCTTGCATATCCTGAGCAATCTTGTTAATTAATTATTCTCGATAACCATATTTGTCGCACGACCTTGTCCGCTATCTCGACCCCGACCACGACCGCGATTGGATTTAGATCTGAGTTGCACCAATTGTGCTTATACCAGTGCTACGATGACTCCTAGACCTCTTCCCCTACCCCTACCTCCACCTCGACCCTGACCGCGCCAACAACTGGAAGCAGGGTTTACGAGAGTCTCTAGTATTTCTCCGAGTGTAACAATTTTCGGCTCCAACTAGAATGCTTTCCTGCTCTAGTGTTACCCTAGTACGCCTCCCTGATATCCTTGAGGACATGATGCCTACTAGTAAGATATGGTCTAAATTAGTTGCTAGGTTACTTCTCGCTCCTTTTGTCTAAGCTTAAGTGTTTACGAAAACACTTAATCTACTTAAACCTGGCTCTGATACCAACTTGTAACACCCCAATTTTCATATATAGATTATATAATAAATAATCGTTCCAACATCTCCCAAGATCAATTCTAAACTTACTTATAGACTAAAGTACAGCGGAAGCAAAATAAAATAAAATAAAATCTTCAGTTGAACAACTTCGGGTGTTACGTCTTTGCGGAATTCCTCTGCCGTCTTCTGGATCAATCCTTCTCCTTGGATTTTTCACTGCCACTTGCTAAATAGTTTCGTGGGTTGCACACATTTAAAGTTTCTAAATGGGTAAGCCTAGGGCCTAGTGAGTTCGTGTTGCACATACATGTCCGTCACTTAAAAAAAACAAATAGTTTTATCATATATCTTCAATAAATAATACAACAAATATATCACCCGATCACCTAATTTAGGGGAACGATTAATTATCCAGAGAAAGAACCAAAAGTTCATTTCCCTTCTCCTTGAGACAACTCATCATCCATTTTACTCAAGTATTTTAAATATCCAAGGAAATGAGTATGACTCTCAATTTCTATCCCCGCCGATCACACACATCCGTCATGCTCACGGCGAATAAACATCCACCCGTTCCCCGCTAAACATGTCATCCGAAAACACACCCAGTAGATAACAAATCCAAAATAACATTTTTACGCAACCATACTTATCATAAAACATACTGTCAATAAATAAATAAAAACC